TCACAATAATGTGATTGGTCACTTGCAATGTTGAACCTGGAACAACATTTTCATGATGATCTGGGAACAACACCAACACGACGATATCAGATCATCCATGTTTGCACAGTCTTTTAAAAAAATTATTCACAACACACATTCTCGCCCGGTGATGTTTGCAGACGGCTCATCTGTTAGGGGTTCAAAATTGGAAACAACAGTCACACGACGAGTCTTAAAAATGGAAGATGTTGATGGGAGCAATATTTCAATAGATATCAGTGTACAGAGTCTTCATCTTTAATGCTCATGCATTCATTTGCCCATAAGACAGTTTCTGTTTTTGGAGAACATCATCTGAGTCATAGTATTTTATTTTATTCTATTGTATTTTATTGCATTCCAGTGTTTTCTAATTTCTGCTACATAACTTTGCATTTTGCTCTAACAAAACAAATTTCCCACCTGTGGGACTAATAAAGGTCATCTTATCTTATCTCATCTTATCTCATCTCATCTCATCTCATCTTATCTCATCTTATCTCATCTTATCTCATCTCATCTCTCTCATCCCATCTCATCTCATCTCATCTCATCTTATCTCATCTTATCTTATCTTATTTTGACATTTGGAAAAGCTTCAGATTAGAGATTAACTTTGCATAAGAATACAGTTGCAGCACACTAGGCGGAGTTTGTTCAGCCCAAATGGGAGTGATGGATGATATTCATACGTCAATGTTACTCTGGATGGGAGGTTAAACTAAACGAAGCTGTAAGCCTGTCTGAGGTTTAATAGTATGATCGCAGGTTGATACTCCATTTTCTCTGTCCTAGGATGGCTTAAGTTGATGAAGTGTATTATGTCATAATCAGTCATTCACACGCTGATAGTAGAATACCTCCAGAGGCCAGGCCTTTCTGGTGTTGTAGGAGTCAAACTGTCAAACAATAATTATTAAATATTATGATACTGTACTGTTGAAAACTATTGTAATCGTGGAGCCGTGTTCTGATAACCTGCCTATTAAAGGACAGATGTAGTCATATCCAGCTTGTCTGACTTCACTGTGAACTGAATGAATATAATATAACACCCCAGGTGCAGTGTGTGTCTGTGTGTTCATAAGTAAATGTGCACAATAGTAGGATGTAGCTGGGTTGAAACCTTCCGCTGTTGTCTGCTAAAGGCATTCCTCCCCGTTTCCCCCCCTCACACGTACACGCAAACACACATCAGTCTCTAGAAAGCACTCTCCCAGAGATGTTGATATCTGTAAGGAAATGCTGTGAGGGAAAGGGGAAGATTCTAGTGATTTTTTTTTTCTTCTTAACCCTAAACTATAATTCTGTCGCTCTTCCAGAGCCACCAGCTGCCTGCCTAATAACATTCAGTGAAGCTGCTCGGTGACCTAAAGTGTGAGGTGATATATGTGTGCAGCTGTGCTTTATCTCCTGTCACTGTTTGGGCTTTCATCTCGACAGCAACAGTGAGACGTGTAATGGATGGAAACTGTGGGAAAACACTGTCTCTATGTACATAATATATTAATGTATAACCCCTGTGTGCCGGTGTAGGTTCCCCGTGTGGAGCTGACCCTCTCTGAGCTCCAAGAAATGGCCACAAGACAACAACAACAAATAGAGGCCCAGCAACAGATGTTGCTCGCCAAGGTAAAACACTCACTCATACTGTACACGCACACACAGCTGCTGGATGGATCGCCTGTCAGTTAATGTAAGGTTAGCTACATTAGAGTCTGTCTGAAAAGGTCGACTTTGAGGCCCCTGGAGCCTCAGATGAATGTGTGTGAGCATCACATCGCATGCATCTTTTTTTCTGTGTGTGTGTGTGATTGAGTTCAGGGTTTGAGGAACGACGTGGGAGATTGGCTCTGGAGGAGAGGTGTCGTTTTCAGACGTAGGCTGGGGAGAATTGAGTTAAGAGTTTTTCCGAGGCTGCAGTTTCTTACATGCACCACACAGGAGATAGTCTGGTTCAGAAATACTCAGCGAGGTTTACCTGAGGGAGCTGCCTGGGTGGAGCGTGCATGACATGACAGCTGCTCTCCAGACTATTACCAGCGCTCTTCTCACATCAGCACAAATCGATGAAAACTCGCACAGTTGAAGGTCACAGTAAGTTTGTGCTGGGGAGTTTGCACGTTAACCCCTTAAGCCCAAGGTGACATGGGTCAAAATATTGCTATGCCCAGATTAAGGTATTTCGTTGTTGTGTTTTTTCAAGTACATATATACCCAGTCAGTTGTAGATGTGCACATGTTGTTGATGTTGAAGGGAGACGGTTCGAGCAGATCTGAGAGACTGGACAGTGTGGGTCTTTATAGTGCGTCTGTTTTGTCATGAAAGAGTTTCTGTTTTAGAAGAACATAATTTGGGTCGTTTGAACATTTGGAAAGCCTTCACATGGGAGCTTAACTTAAAAATAGGAACGCAACTACAGCACCACAGGCTCAGTTTGTTCTAGCTCATTTCAGAGTTGGAACTGTAAAAGCAAGTTTTGTTTTTCCTTGCAGCCGGCTTTGTTGCAGAAGACTGAGCTGTCAAGTTGACAACATTGTGATTAAACTACATGATACTTTTCTTGTAATGGAGAATTTGTAGCTAGGCTGACCATAAAAAAGAAGTTAGACTTGTAGAAATGTTGTTTGGTGGACCTGAGATTTTGGTCCATATTGATGTGCAACACGTTCTCACTCCCAAAGCGTAACGTTTTACGCTAGGTGACAAATCGTCAACATATTACGTTTTCGGCTACCCACCACGTTCCTAAATGAC